GAGAGAACAAACCAGATTCCAGTGGAGGAGGAAATCAGGAAGAAGTGGTGGAAGTGGATAGGACATACACTACGAAAAGCACCGAACTGCGTCACGAGACAAGCCCTCACATGGAACCCTCGAGGCAAAAGGAAAAGAGGAAGGCCAAGGAACGCATTACGCCGAGAAATAGAGAAAGATATGAGAGGAATGAACAAACATTGGACAGAATTGGAGAGAGAAGGCCAGGACAGAGTTGGTTGGAGAAAACTGGTTGGCGGTCTATGCTCCATTGAGGGTAACAGGGGTAAGTAAGTAAGTAATATATATTTATGAACATTTTGATCGTAATCATACATTCGTTCGCTTGGTTGCCTTTCGGCACTCGCAATCGATTTTATATTTGCATGCCTGTGGTGTGCCAAAATAAACGTATTCAACAATTCATGTTCACCTTCTTGATTTATAAACTGTCAGGCGTTATTTAGTAACGATTGTCTGGACGAGCAAATTCACGAAGTCTAAGAACACGTTTTATACTGACCATCACGAAACTTGTGATACATTGCTCACCATAACTGAATGTTTCTTGATGTGAATTTTTTACAGAAAAACTTTACCGATTTAACTGATTATCATCAAATTAATAGCTGCTGACATAACTAGTTTAAAATGTTTTAGTACAAATATTTGTAAGTTACTATCAATTTAATGAAGATTTTCACTAGGTATATACACTTATTATGTAAAGTAACAGTTTAAATGTTGCTGTAGTTGTTATTCTTCTATCAGTGAAAATAGATGAAGATGTATTGTGGGCAGGCAGAGGAAACATGTCTGATTAAGGATACAATAACACTGTGGGCACTAAGTTAGTTTGCATTACGCGGTTGTGAAGATTGTTAAGTTACACATTTTTTCAAACCATGAATCGATCAATGTTAGACCACCAGAGGTTAGGCGGTCGCGTACAGTACCGAAGGTCCCAGGTTCGAATCCTGCGAGGTGCAGGATTCGTGGATGCGCACTGCTGATGAGTCCCAAACCAGGACGAAACGGCCGTCCAGGTTTCTAATGGTGATCTAACATTGATCGATTCACGGTTTCAAAAATGTGTAACTAAGTTAGCGACGAGTCTTTCCCGACTGCCTTATGTTCAGAGGCTAAAATGCCAGAATCTTCTATCCTTATCGAGATCTTGTTTTGGCATTTTGTATGCCGAATAACGATCTGAGTGTTAACAGAATTATTCATCTCTGAGGTCATAGTAAGAAGATTCAAAAACAGCGATCAAATAAACTCAAAGTAGGGTTCTTTTCTTCACATCGACTGGTTAATGACTGGGTCGACTTACTCAAACAAGTGGTACCAGCCTCATCAGTAAACACTTTCAATAAGAAGCTTGATGTTCACCGAAAAACAATTTGCAAGGATTAACACCTGTCTGCCAACCTACTCATTTTAAAACTGATTAAATATCCTATCTGTTTTGGTTAAAAACGTATAACGGAGTTTAACTGCATTATTTCTAGATCTAAATTAATTTTTGCGCATGTCTATATCGACCTCATTCTGTTGCATGGATAAACAGACATACAGATAGTCACATATATAGATGAAAATTATACACAAGGGAAATGTTCATTCAGAGTTGATCATTACAATTAAAATAGAATAATTGACATATTTAATCATCACGTGCATAACCTATTTTACGCTTGTTTAAATCAGTGTGGAATTTTGTAGGTGTACACACACTAAATAATTCATTTGAAATAGTTAATAACTCTTGAGAAATGTATCATTGAAGTCAATTATAGGATGAAATCAAAACTTTCAGGTCATATTGTGGTACGCGCTACTTATAAGTAGTATATGACGCGAGTGTCAACGTAATGTCTGGCAGCAGAACATGGGGGAAGATCAAGAAAGGAAGAG